CGTCTCCCCCGCGGGCTCCCCTCCGCCCGCTTTCCCGAGGGGCCGTTTCTCGCTCACGGAGGCAGAGCCCCGGGACCCAGCCGCGTCCCCGCACCGGCTACAGCGACACCTGCCGGTGCAGAGGCGAACTGCAGGACCTGGGGCAGCTGCGGGACCGCACCCCACAGTGAACCCCAAGGGGAGGCCCACATTGGCAGCCCTGAGACTTGGCATCGCCGGTCACAGTCCTCAGCATGGACACTGCCGGCTGGGAGCCCGTGCAGAGCACGAGCACTCTCCCAGATGCCCTCTCCTGTGCACAGGGACCTGTGTGCCCAGACTCTCTCTCCTCTAAGAAATAAAACTGGGGACTTTAAGCCTTGGCAGGGAAGGCGTAGCTCAAATGAAAATTTCCCTCAAGTATCTCCTAAATCACCCCCAAAATGCTATACACATGGTTTATGTGTAAAATCTGTGCATTATTATTATAAATGAACACGCACACTGCAAACACTTCAAGGCAGAAAACAGACGAGCGAGGAAGCAGAGGGCCTAGAGGGCGCAGGCAGGCAGACACCAGAGGCCGGGCCAGCGGAGCCTCCTGTGTGACCAACTGATGGCCTCAGGAGACGGTACTCGTCAGTCAGGAACATGCCAACAGAGTCCTGCTTATGTAAACTGTGCGCAATGAATACATCGCTCACAATGAACACACGTGTAAAATACAGACACATACGTTTCTATCACCTCACTGCATTTCCCCAGTGCTTCTGGGGTCTATTCTAATTACACCAGCACGTGTGCGTCCACCAGCAAGGGGGCAGACAAGAGCCATGAGGACTCAGCCGTCCCCTTAATAGAAGCTCTTCCAGCGTTTTGCTGATACAAGTAACACTGTAACAGACAAAATGGAAGTAAGTAACTATACTCAATCTTCACTCTCCTGTCTAATTATCTCAGGGAAAGGCTCCAGGAAAAGGGGAGCCTGCACAGTCCCCGGGACCCACCGAGGGCGGGCCGCGTCATTTTAACCAGCCAGATGGCAGGGACCACGCTGCACACCTGAAGGTTTGGGAGAGCCCACCGAGGCCATGTCTTGGAAGCAGGGAAAACCAGCGCAGAATAGAAGGGGTTCCAGACACACACCAGCAAGGCTTAACAAGCGGCTTCTAAAAGCACAAGTATGTTAACTGACTGCAAGAACAAAACTTAAAAGTCCTTACAGGGAAAACTGAAATCCCGACACAACAACAGGACATTCACAATGTCCAGCATCCAACACAGCTACCAGATGTATGAAAGCAGGAAAACATGACCCAAAATCAGGAGACGGTTCAGCCAACAGAAACCACCAGGAAATGACGGAGGTGATGGAGACTATAAACAGCTGTTACAAACACGTTAAATGATTTAGAGGAAAACCATGAGGGTATAAATCAAAGCCCTAAAAAAAAACCCAAGAGAATTTGCAGAGAACAGGTCCCTGCAGTAAACAACATGCTGACACTTTAACCAGAGATCAGATGCTACAGCAGGAGGGAATAGGTCTGAAGACAGGACCATGGAGGAGAGAGAAGGAAAAAGGCTTGAGATTCAGAGGCTCAGAAATCCTCCAGCAGCACACACACAGGGGAACCCCACCGAGCACAGGGAGCTCAAATGCACAACTAGTGGTGGAGAGAACCGTCAGAGCTGGGAGGTGGGGGGCACGGAGCCCCGTATGGGAACAACAGCCCTCACTCACCCTCAGAACCTAGAGAGCACCAACACAATGGAATGCTACTTTTTAAATTTTTTTAATGTTTTTATTGATTTTAGAGAGAGAGGAAGGGAGAGACAAACATCGATCAGCTGCCTCCTGCACACACAATGACCGGGGATAAACCTACGACCTGGGTATGTGCCCTGATGGGGAACAAGATACCTCTCGGTGCACAGGTCAACGGCCAACCGGGTCACGTGAGCCAGGTCTGGGAAGACAGACTTTTATCAAAGGCTCCATTCAATGGTCGGCAAAAATATGCTCAGCAATGAGGCCCCAATAAAGCAGCTTTGGGACAAACACAAGCTGGGAGGCTCTTCCCCAGCAGCCTGCACCTGGAGTTGCTGGACAAGCTTCTTCCGGCTGAGGAACCCATCGGATCTCTGCCATGTGCCCAGCCCCCCTCCAGACCCCAGGCCCTATTTTGCCCCCTTTTCTGCTGGAGCCCATATGCACGACCTGCACTCGCCCACCCGACAGCTGCTGTCCGAGCCTCCACGGCCTGGCGGAGTGGCCCCGTCCACCCTGACAGTGTCTCCCCCACCCTGCACTTCACGTCACCCGAGTGTTCTTGGGGCTTCCTCACTAGGAACTACACTGAGGGATGCCAGGACATGCCCAAGGGGAAATGCGAGCAGTGGGGAAAACAGAAGGGTCGCTGAGCAGAGACGGACCAGGGGCTCCCCTCACTAGGACAGGGCAGGGACAGAACTGTCAGAGGGAAGAGATGGACTTCCCAAACACGGAGCACTAGAAGCACCGTGCCATTTCAGATGCTGCCACACTAGGACACGAGCAGGTGTCAGCTCCCCTCACCCCCAGGGGCAGGAGGACACATGACTAGCTCACAGATCAGGACTCAGCCATGAAGAGCAGCCGAGGGCAGCAGGGGGCGAGCACTCATCACTCACTGACACACACGGCCCATGAGGGAGGGGCTGTGGTCACCTCCACGCCACTAAGGAGACACAGAAGGGGACACTGCTGGCCCAGGGTAAATCATTCACTAAGTGGCTGTCTCCAAGGGGACTCTGGGTCCACGGCCCCTGTCCTGACGGCCCCTTCAGGTGCCATGAGGCCGAGGACTGTAGGCGCATGTATCGCGGAGCCCCACAGACACTAGGTCTTCACAGGCTGTGTGCTGGGTGCACCCTGCCTGACCTCATGAGGGACAGAGGGAGGAAGACCGAAGCCACTGCCCTCCTATCTGTGTAAGCAAAGTACTGTCACGCGGCCTGAAAACACAAGGAGCTAAATGAATGCTGACAGGTTGCTGTCACCAAGTGAGGACCACTTCCACACAAACCCGCCCACCAGAGTCCAGTGAGAAAGAAGAGGGTCTTACTTGGGGGGAGCTGGAGGTTCCCTGGGGGCCTCGGCAGCACCTGCATCGGAGCCTGGTGGCTCTGCCTCCTCCCGGGAGCTGGGGGCCACCTCTAGCCTGGTGCTGGGCTGGCCTTGAGGCTCTGCAGGCCCACTGGAGGCCGAGGCGGGGTCCGTGGTGGAGTTGACCTCCACCTCCAGAACTGGGGCAGGGACGGGCTCCTGATCCGCAGCAGCAGCCTCTGCCTCCTTCCTCAACTTCTCCTCTAGCTCTTTCCTCCTCCTCTCGTCGTCCTGACGAGCCATGTGGTCAAAGGTCTGGAACACCTGGAACCAAAGGTGAGTTGTGAGCGCAGAAATGCAGCAACATCCAGTGAGAGAGAAAAGCAGCACCCAGGGCAACATCCTCGCTGGCAGATGGACACACACCTAGACTCCCCCGAGCTGCTACAAAAGCACCCTCCAGGGGGAGGTCCAACATCCACAGACATGCAGCTTGACAGGCCAAGGCCTGCATGTGCCCAGCCCAGTCTCAGGAGGCACAGCTCATGGTCTGCCTGGCATCACTCTCACCCCTGCTGCCGACGGTGCACACAGCACGCTGCCCAGGGATTGCGCCAGGGGGAGGCACCAACAACCCCCCACTGTAGAGGGAAGGTGGGGTCGAGCTGACCTTCGCTCCAAGAACAGCAGCCGGCCCATGGCAGGGGCTCGGGAAAGCCTGGGAACTCACTCAATGAACCCCCAGCCCTGCCTGTGATGTCCACAGACAGCTCCCCCTCAGAACTTGACACTGGGGGCGAGTCAGCCCTCAGTCTTCTCTGAACAGTCACTCCTACGAAGTACATCCAGGATAAACCCATGTGACAGGCTGTGGGGCACACCTGCTGGGCTGTCAGTGAGGGTGCAGATGGGCATTTCTGCTGAGAGAAATCTGAAGACTTTTCCTGGAAGGGGGACCTGAATCAGACCTTCAATGAAAGGCATATCTTCCTCAGGAACCACATTTCCAGGGCATGGTCACCAATCACAGCTCCTGCAGTTGCTGGAGGCAGGGAGGCTGGAACACCCACCCTCACCCTAGAATGAGGGTGGGAGCAGCCTCATGATTCAACCCAGCAGTTGGCTCCCTAGTATTTACCCAGAGAAGCTAGAAACTCACGTCCACACAGAAACCTGCACACGATGTTTATGGCAGCTTTATTCAAACATGTCAAAACCTGGACCAACCAGATGTCTTTCAGTAGGTGATGGATAAAAAACTGAGGTCCATCCACAAAATGGAATATTACTATTCAACACTAATAAATGAGCTATCATGTCATGAAAAGGCATGGAGGAGCTCTGCCCGGTTTGGCTTACTGGTTAGAGCATCGACTCCTGGACTGAAGGATCCAGGTACGATTCCAGCCAAGGGCATGAACCTTGGTTGCACGCTCAATCCCTGACCCAGTTGGCACGTGAGCAGGAGGCAACCAATCAATGTGTCTCTCTTACATCAATGTTTTTTTCTCTCTCTCTCTCTCTCCCCCTCTCCCTCCCCCCTTCCACTCTCTCTGAAAAGCAAAGGAAAAAATATCCTTGGGTGAAGATTAAAAAAAAAAAAAAAAGATAAAACATGGAGGAATTTTAAATTAAATGCACATTAAGTAGCCAGTTTTCTCAGTGGTTAGAGCGCTTGCCTGTGAACTGAAGGATCTCAGGTTCAATTCTGGCCAAAGGCACATACCCAGCTTGCAGGCTCAATCCCCACCTTGTGCGGGAGGCAGCCAATCGATGTGTCTCTCTTACATCAACATCTGTCTCTGTCTCTCTCTCCCTTCCAGTCTCTCTGAAAAACAATAGAAAAAATATCCTCAGGTGAAGATTTAAAAAGAAACAAAACTATTCAGGCAGCACCAAACACTGAAAGACGCCGGCAGAGGAAAACAAAATCCTAAAACCTGGCAACACTAGATTAATTTTTCCTTCAGAGAACCTGGCCCCTGACTCAGGCTCTGACATCCACATTGGTGACCCCAACCCTTTGTTCCCAGAGCTGCTCATCCTCCTGACACTCCACATCTTCATCTTAATAACACAAAAACAGCAATGCAGTGAGTCCTGACATCTGGGACCTCTCACAGCACCCATGGCCGCTGGCTCATTCTAGAACCGCAGGACTGTGCAGCTGGAAGGTCTATCTGTGACCTCCAACCGGCCTTCTCACTGGCAGAGCGGCTGCTCACCACAACCTCCCAGGAGCTCAATGGGGGCAGTCAGGGCGGGCTCCCCCGACTCTCCGTAGCTGGCTTCAATGCAGGCTGGTCAGACTCAAGGGCAAACACAGAGTACCAACTGAAGTCAATGGGACGTCACACTAAACTAGTTTTTCTTAGAACACACTAAGCCATCGTGGAGTGGAACTCGTCTCTCCCAACGAGGGGCCTTCGAGCTGTGCTGCAGGCAGTGCAGGTCCTCGGACTTAGGAGGCATGTCTGAGAAGTTTTACACCAGCTCCCAAAACACAAGGGAAAGCTTTCAAGTTCCAGCCTCCCACCCAAACCCTCTGCCTGTGTCCTGAAGAGACCCCAACCACCCCACCTTGGGTGCAGTATCCACAGGAAGAGGTCTTCTGCCATCCAGTCGGGGGCAGATGAGCCGAGTGGGGTCAGGAGGCCACCTAAAGCCACTGAGAGGTGACACTGTGCAGCATCAAGTCACTCAATCTGACTCAGCACCTTCTGTTTGTTATAAAGTGCAGTTGACAGACAATATTATATTAATTTCAGGTGCACAACACGGTGATCACCTCACAACGTGATCGCCACGGCTTTGGGGTGGTGACCTCCATCACCGTATAAAGTTACTATGACATCAGTGACTAATTCCCTATCTGCTCATCCCACCCATGACTTACCTGTTCTATAACTGGAAGTCTGTGCTGACTCAGGATCTCCATGACCCCACAACAAAACTCCTGCCCAATGCTGAACTTGGCAAACGCCTCTGTGTAAAGGACAGCATCCAGGATTCACCCTGACCTTCCCAGACAATATTCCTGGGAAGTGGCGGCTCTGTTCAGGCTCCTGGGCAAAGCTGACACAAGAAATCACTTCCAGAAAACACCGCCCCCTCTTAACTATCTGCTGGAACCTGCCCCTGGTCTCGGTGAGAATCACAGCACTGCCCACTCCCCCCACGCTACAGCCTCTGCTCCTCCTCTCCGTTCCCTGACCGGCCCCGAAGGCTGTCCTCCACCTTCAGCTCTTCTCTCCCTCAAACCACCCCAGTTCCTCTGTCTCCTGCAAGATGCAGTCCCATGACCCCAACAGCCTGTGGGCAGGGGCTTCCGTATGCAATCTCAAGTCCAACTGGTCTAAAACTCAAATGACAGTACTACAGTTAATGCACTGTCGTTATTCCAGTCGCCCACGTCTGGAACCTCAGGTCATCCGATTCACCCGCCGCGGCCCTCTGCCCTGGAAGGGTGCGTGGAACATAGTAGGTGCTTTATGCACTGATGTCAGACAAATGAATTACCTGTCAGTTCGTCTGTAAAACAAGGGCAAACACCAGCCTTTTAGAATTAAGTCAGATGACGTCCTGCAACGCAAACCCCTCCCGTGAGAACTAGCACATGCCAGGTGCTCAGGAGCTGCTCCTTTCTCCTCTATTCTGCAAGCTACCGCCACCCTAGACAACGGCGATGCCACCCTATACGCAAAGGAAACGTAACAGGACAGAAGCAGGCGGAACCACAAAAATAAAGTCTGGGGTAATCGCCTAACCTGGCTGAATTGACCACATAAAACTAACCGTATCTGTTTCACGGGGACGTCCGTGCCGGTCTTAGCGCCGCCGGGACCTGCCAGGAGCCCGCGGACGCCGAGGGGCAGCCCGAGCTCCCCGCCAGGCCCCACCCCCGTCAGCCGCGCAAACGCCGCCCGCTGTCCCCCGCGGGACGAACTGCGAGGCGCCAGGGCCCTGGAGGTCCCACCAGCATTCCCGGGCCCCGGGTCCTACACACCCACTCTCAATCCCAGGGGAGTCCCACCTCCCCGGAAAACCCCTCACTTCCAGGCCGACTCCCCTCCTTCCAGTGGGCGGGCGGGCAACCGGCCTGCGCGGTTCTCCGTTGGGATGTTTTATCTCCTGACTGTAACAAGCGCCACAAGGAGGCCGCGACGTGAATGCCCAGGGACAGCGGACACCTGTCACTGCCCAGGTGCCCGTCACCCTCCGCGAGCGAGCATCGCCCAGAGGGCCTCGAACCCACGGCGCGGTTAACCTGCGATGGACAGACAGCAGCTCCCCGGGCCGCCTCTGGCCTCGGGGGTCGCGTCTCAACACGGGGACCACGCCCATCGGTCTCCGGCCGCCCCCAATGCGCGGCTCCGTCCCGGCGGCGGCCCCGGCACCTCCACGGCTCCTGCGCTGCAGCCGCGGAGCTGCTTCCGACACC